ATAGTTAAAACAAGTACACTATAGATATCAAACTTGTTGGATACCACAACTTACTAAATGAATAAATTATCTTCAGGTTAACACTAAAATAGTTAAAACAAGTACACTATAGATATCAAACTTGTTGGATACCACAACTTACTAAATGAATAAATTATCTTCAGGTTAACACTAAAATAATTAAAACAAGTACACTATAGATACCAAACTTATTGGATACCACAACTTACTAAATAAATAAATTATCTTCAGGTTAACAATAAAATAATTAAAACAAGTACACTATAGATATAAAACTTGTTGTATACCACAACTTACTAAATGAATAAATTATCTTCAGGTTAGCACTAAAATAATTAAAACATGTACACTATAGTTGTGGTATCCAACAAGTTTGATATCTTACTAAATGAATAAATTATCTTCAGGTTAACACTAAAATAATTAAAACAAGTACACTATAGATACCAAACTTGTTGGATACCACAACTTAATAAATGAATAAATTATTATCAGGTTAACACTAAAATAATTAAAACAAGTACACTATAGATATCAAACTTGTTGTATACCACAACTTACTAAATGAATAAATTATCTTCAGGTTAACACTAAAATAATTTCAACACAGCACTTATGCCCTCAAAACACTAAATCAGAACTCACATAGTGATTGATGAAGTCCAGGTAGTGACGTGGTGTGATTGTAGAGGTATGTCCACCTCTCTTGACCAGACGAGCATTAGCATGATGTAGAGTTTGGTGAACATAAACAAAAGCATTAACGATGGCATCTCTGTGGTTTGGAGGAACAGACAACCCTGGGACAATCACAGGAAAGTAATCAGGTGCTCTGTACTGTAGGAAATAAATACAATGTTTGTTCAGTTTTACAGGAAATTGAACCAGGTGCCTTACACTGTAAGAAATAAATACAATGTTTGTTCAGTTTTACAGGAAATTAAACCAGGTGCCTTACACTGTAGGAAATAAATACAATGTTTGCTCAGTTTTACAGTAATCAGGTGCCCCTATACTGTAGGAAATAAATATAATATTTGTTTAGATTTACAGGAAAGTAATCATGAAAACTGTCCTTTGCCATCAAAAAGAATTCCTATACAATTTACACATCCTTCAGTAGGTCTGTGACATTTCCTGATTGGCTTAAGGACATCCCAATCAGTGATTGCCTTACCGGCCTACGTTGATCTGACTCATTTTATAAGCTGTACTATTTCCTATAGATCATTTTCCAGACGGTTCTGCTATGATTAGTGTCTGGCGAAAAAGCTTCAGCAGATATTTCCTTTGCGACATCTCAACCAACAATT